GGCCTCTGTCACTCCTGGGATGACCTGAATGTGCACGCCGCAATCAGGAAGCAGAAAGTCATAGTTCTCACTGGCGTAGGAGCAGATCTGTTGCAATAGAAGCTCGCGATCACGATTGGGTAAGAGTCGCATCCCAGCAGTGGCCAGGAGGAATATGGGAGTATCCTTTATCTGATCGGCGGGGACGATCTTGCGAGCATGATCGAGAAGTTCCGCAAGATGATCTGGGCCTACCGCTTCCGGCCTGTCGGCGAACGATGACACGCCTATGACAATGCGATTGTCAGAGAGATGGATTCTAAAGGGAAAGTGCAGACATGCGCTCTGCTATAACCTACCAGGGTGTATCTTTTTCGTCCATTCCGATTTAGTTTTGATCTCCGGTAATGTTTTCAGCTCATCACTTTTAGCGTGTTTGCGAGCGATAGCGGGGTCCAACCACCGATAGACGTGCACTCGAGTCCCCTGCCTCAGTTGTTAGCAGGAAAGCAACGGCATTTCACAGTTAAGACGCTTACAGATGATCCCGCATCTAGGACGATGCCGTAATGCCCTAGTGTGCGACACGATGGTAAGCTGCTGCTTCAACAGCGAGGAACAAGGTAAACTGAAAAGGGGAGTGGCGGCATACATTTGCCCATTGGAACGTGGAGGGAAAGTTGATAATATTATTATATGTCAAGCATTGCCGCCAGATTGGCGACTCCTGAAAAGCGAACGTTTTGAGAAGCGACAACACTCAGATGAGAACAGGCGTCGAAGTGAAGCAATGCGATAGCATGCAACCGTAAGCTACACGGGCGGAGATCGATAGAGGACGGAGAAGGTGGGGAAACCTGGGGAGACGAAACCAAAGCTTAGATGAATCAAACGAATGGCCTTGCTCAAGCAAGATAAAAAGAACAGAACAAGCAGAGAAGACGACGACGCCTACAAGGAAGACGACGACAATGATGCGTACAGGGTCTACCCGGAGAGGAGAGGGAAAAAAAGGGCCAGAAAAGTTACAGGGTAACGATAAGACGGGAACGGATGGCGACAGAACGCGACCACTCCCGTCGCCGATCGCCAGCCAGCGGGACCGTACACCGGAATACCACTAGTCCTCATCAGAAGAGATCTGGAACCATCTGGATATCATGAATTCATGATAATGACAGTGGTCACAAATTGCACTTATTGCAGCCCGGACATAAATTCCACAATTTTTTCGATATAAGCGACTGAATACAACAGCATAAGGTACAACTCTCAACTGGACCCTGTACTAGACTTTTCGAGAATACGAAAATTTCATATGGCATACGTACTCCAGTCCCAGCCTCAGACGTTCATGCTCCTCATCTCCCCCCTCCTCTGCAATCAAAACGCTGAAAATAGCCCCGAAAAGCGCGCTAAAAGGCACTAAACTTACGCCCCTCCGGTCGGATTGACGTAAGCTGGCCCCACTTTGCTGAGTTTGCCCGTTGCGTCATTGGCGGAACTTGACAACTTTATCTCCTGCAGTGAAACTTGCTGATAGGCTGATAGTTGACCCTGAGACGTCAAGTGTCAAACTATCCACGGTTAGGATTCATTTATGCTATACAGATTACAGAGTGCGTTCTTGTTGTCGTTGTATTAGAAGGACCTATGAATATGATTTGGTTCAAGGTGGTCTTGCAAAGATTGCCCCGTCTCAGTCATGCCGGCTGTGGCAGCATCCACTTCCAGTCATCAATATCTGTGGAGGGCAGCGTTCATGGCTTAGTCCTCCCACGTCCTCTGTTCAGGAACATGGTAAACTTTCTAGCCTACGTGCTGAATGGGATGCATTCCTCTCCACTCATCCCTCCGTGAGCCTGCGTGGTCCCCAGGTTAGGCCATCCACACGGTAGCACCCACTACCAACTCCACCGATAGGGTCGTGTCAAACTTCAAAATCCCTAACCTTATTGGACCCCACCTAAGAGAATAAAGCTAAGATCTAAATTATTGTAAGAAACAAATTATCTAGCCTACATTGCCTTCCCCGCGTGAGTTTCATCCTTTGAAACTGATGACTGATTCGAAACCCCGATAATGGTTGGGGTTGTCACGGTAATGCAGTGGTCCAGTAAGCTCCAGTCTCCGATCTGTTCGTCAAAGAACTGAGCCTGGTCAAGTCCGATGATTTCGGATTCCTCGTCGACCCGCAGATCCATTCCCGGGATGAACTTGAGAATGTATAGCAAGACGCAGGAGACCACGAACGAGTAACCCGAGATGGCGCAGATTTCAGCCAGTTGGTAGCCAACCTGAATCCCATTTCCGTCAATCGCTCCCCTTGAAAAAGTGAAACCATCAAGAGAGGAGATATTCTCAGTTGCGAACAGGCCCGTCAGGAACGCGCCGACGATGCCTCCCACACCATGGAGCTTGAACACATCCATGCCCTCGTCAATGTTCAGCCAGTCGTTGATATTCTGCAGGAGCGAGCACACAATGCTGGTGATGAACCCAATACAAGCTGCTAGCCAAACGGACACATACCCGGCCGCCGGGGTGATGCCCACCAGACCTGCAATGGCTCCTTCACAAGCTCCAACTACGGAGAACTTTCGCTTGTGTTTGATGTAATCAACCATAACCCATCCTAAAATGCCTGTGCTCGCTGCCATATTAGTGTTGAAGATGACCACCATAGAACGCACACTGGCGTTGAGAGATGAGCCGCCCTGTCACTGGTCAGCGGAGTGGCCTTCAAGGCACACAATTGTTGATGATGACTGTACATTGAATCCAAGCCACCCGAAACAGATCAAAACGGTTCCGATGAAGACTAAAGTCGTGTTGTGGGGTTTGCGCAACGAAACCATACCATGATCCTTTCGCTTCCCCAGCACCATTGCGTAAGCCAGGGCAGCCCAGCCGGAAGCAATGTGAACAGGACCACCACCGGCGAAGTCCAAAGCTGGAAGATTATAAAGCCAGCCGTGGCTGCTCCATGTCCACCGCGCCGCCGGGCAGTAGACGAGTGTGGCCCAGAAGAAGCTGAATATCAACGATGGCAGGATATTTCCTCTTTCAAAAGCGCCACCGACGACGATCATCACCTGCCGCAATCAGCATACGAGTCTCATCTGTCGCAGGTATACGGGAGCACTCACCGTGCAGGCGCAGAAAAGCAGCTGATACAGACAAAACACAATTTCAGGAAGCACTGCAGAACCTGGGGACGGCGCTACAAGGACATCCCTCATTCCAAAGTTCTTGAGAGTGCCGATGAACGGACCGCCGTCCCTGGAGTAAGTAAGAGAATAACCCCAGAACATCCATTGAAACGTTGTTCTATTCAATGCTCAGTATCAACAAAGTAGTATCGCCTCGAGAAGCAAGGAACGTACACTGCAAGGATCATCCAGGACTGGAAAAGCAGGGCCAAGGCAGATTTCCTGCGAGCTAACCCACTATAAAGCAGACCGATTCCAGGCAAGATAAGCCAGACAATGAAGCTGCAGGTCATGATATAGACATAGTGATACTCGAATCCGACATACTGCGCATTCACGTCGACTTTGGTCGGATCACCACCTTCGGGTGTCGAGGCATTGTAAACCGGCTATCGTCCATGAGACATCGTCAGTCATGTTCGATTCATAGCGCAAAAAACTTGCTTCATGAAGATGGGTACATACCTCACTCATACTGCAAGGATGTTCGTCTCGCGGCTACGCTTTCGTCTTCCTCGTTCGGCTCACGCTCGAATAGCCATACGAAGATTCGTAGCGACCAGGGCCCTTCAACATGGCTCTGCCACATTTATCTATCCTTGTTTCTCGAACTATTGGCGGTTTTCAACCACCGAAGCATGCTCTATCACGGCAATAACGTCTAGAGAGCAATCATGGAATTCATCGGGAACAACTTACTCACAACAGCACGAGAACCCTTATCTATTCGCGCCAAGATTCAGGAACGCCAACTTAGGCTCCATAATCACGATAATGCCGCTTGAGTAACTCGATAGTAGGTGCTCTGGGCTTGCTTTTGTTGCTGTTGCCAGGGTGCAAGGAGGCTGGGCTCTCAGAGAATACTGATAAGGCGTAAGGCTGCAGCTGATGCTCTTATCTCCCCGGATCGTTCCCCTCTCTAGGGTTTAGAGCTATATCAGGTTGCTCGTAACGGGAAACGCAATGCGTAAGGGCCGACGGCGATCATTGGTGGTAGATAACAAACCCTATCGGGTATTGCACAATTCGATAGAAATGTAGATTGGAGCTTTGGACCGATTTGTAGGACTGGCATTTTATTCCTGACTCGGTATACATCAATCAGATGTATCATTGTTGAATCGCTGACAATATATGTCCATATCACTGGCAGAGAGATGTAGCCAGCCTAAGTGTAACGGCACCATGAAGCCAATCTTAGCAGAAAGGAAGGAAGCAGGACTGAGATCTCAATTGAGGTAAAATATGTTGGGGCATATCTATATCTGCAGGTATGAGAACGTAGGAAGGTAATGAAGAGAAAGGAGCGAGTGTAGGAGCGATGGAGAGTTGCTCGGGGAAATATGGTCTATATTGCGAGCCAGCACCACTGGGCCCCTAATACTATGAAGCAGAGGAAAATGTAGACGACGTCTGACATTTGTCCTTCGACCTGAGGCAACCAAGACAGCCCGCATGATGGTTACGAAACGAGAATATGGTTCAATGATGTTTTGCAGATCGTAGTACAGGCTTTTGGAGGGGTTGACGCAGGGAACAACTCCAGCATTGTCACTGTTGGAGATTTTGTAGGCTAGTAAGATGGTCTTTCGTAGAATGAGATACACTTAAATGTATATGTACAACAATTAGTTACAATGCAGAGTGTATGCATACAGTGAGAAAATATGCGAAATTGGAGGCAAAATGGGTAGGGTACAACAATCCTATGCTGTTAGGAGGGGTATTGGCAAGAAAGCGAAAGCGATCAAGAGAACGTCATGCAGCGAAGATCAAAAGGATAGAACAATTCATAAGCCATCAGGCCCGTTAGAGTTTCGACGGCGTAATGACATTTCTACGCATCGTTCGTGTCGAAACATCAATGTTATTCGTCGGATCAGGGCTTGCTGCACTCTCGAATAATTTGCTTCCGACAGTATCGGTCATTGTAAGAACGCGCGATGACACCGTGGCTCCGTCCCGACGGTTTTTGCTATACCAGTGTCAGTAGAAACTAGAGAGAAACTGTAGGAGGATGGAGAAGGATAGTCTTCACTCACCCTTCACGTCTTGACTGAGCGATCAACTCGGTGAAATCCCATAGACGGCCGCGGGGCAAGAGTTTGCCTGTTGCTGGGTCTCGCTCTGGGGTCCATTCAGAAGCAAGTTTGATTGTAGGACCTGTGCGAGACTCTTTGCTCTTTGCGACAAGGATGATCCCTTCTTCGGCGAAACGTTGGTAAGAATTCTTGAGCGTTTCTTTGTTCACAGCCTCAAAGTAAGAGAGATCTCCCTGGTGGTACAGAGTTTTACCAAGCTACAGAAGGTATTAGAACCATGGTGGACTAAGCGGGCTTCGAAATACTTACGATCTGCGCACTGTCTTCCGCTTTCTTTTGGTCAATCCAAACGTCCTTTAGCCCGTCCAGCGGTGGAGTGAGCCCCATGAGGGACACTGCGCCAAGCCAGGCCGCCTCAATGAAAGGCCAAATAAGGAAACAATAGAAGTCGTAGTTCTCTCTTCCGCGCTGACGCTCAGCGTCACTAAGTTCGACAGAGAGTGGCTTCCCAGAGGAATCTCTGGAGACCGTAATGACTTCGTCCTTCTCTAGTCCTCGAAGTGTTTTCTCGAGGTTAGTTGTCAAGCCCTCAGGAGGGAAAATGAATTCACCGCGGAACAGCTGCGGAGAGTCAGTATCTTCGCGTCCGTTGTAACCAGGGCAAGCTTACCTGTGATAGGAACGAGACCTGTTTCAGAAGATCTTCAAAGGGAATACGTTGGTGTGCAGGACCACCACCCTGTTTGACCCTTGTGTACATAGCCGCAGAGACAAGTGCTTCCGTTATGAACAAATGGATTGTCATGTTGCGGTAGAATGAGAGCTGGAAGCGGTCTATAGCATAAAAGGTAGGCTCGGCCAAACCGGTTACCACGCCCACAAGCTTGGGGCCCAGGACTTCCAGCGCACGATCTACGACGAGCTCAGTGGGAGATCGATAGAAATGAGCAACACGCCCTCCTTTCGCTCGGACCCGTTCGCAGAGCCATTCGACACGGCGTACCAGCTCTCCCTTGCCAACACCGCGACCACGGAGAGTCAATAAAACAGTACCAACAAGAGCAGTTGGCATCATCACGGACACATTGTTGATATCAGAGAGAACTCGGTATCCCAGCGTTCTCAGAATGCGCCCTCTCTCTGTGTAGCTGAGTTTGTGGCCAGACTTTGCGTCGATCTGGTTGGGCAACCGACTCAGTTGCTGCGTGAGGAACTCTCGCAGACTCCATGGCTCATGGAACCGAACATCGACCCGCCCCAACTTCAATGACAGAACAGAAGACGACGAAAGGAGGTCAGCCAAATTCTCTTTTCGCTTCGGCTGGCCAAGGAGTTCGCTAATGTAGGATCTAATAGATGCGTCAGAGAGGTGTGATAGGGAACCATATGTTCTGGGGTGCCATACTCGGTCTCGATGACCTTGTCATACTGCGTGCTCACGGGACAAATAATGGTGTCTTCAACACGTCCCGACAGCAGGCTGTCCACGATGAAATTCAGGATACCGAATTTCGGTGACAAAAGCTTGCCCGTCCGTGATCGTCCCCCTTCAATGAAGCATTCGAAATTAAACCCTTTCTGCAAAAGAGTATCGATGTATGCCTGGACAACGGTATGATACAGTGGGTCATTCCCGAAGCTTCTCCTGATCCACATAGCGCCTGAAATGGTTAGCTGCGATGGTAGAGAATTGCCGTGATGACGGACTGTACCTGCGTGTTGTAGAAAAGGGCCCAGTAAAGGAATGTTGAGATTGTCACCGGCCACGACGATCGGCAAGCCAATTCCCAGACGATAGCAAATAAGCTGCAGTGACACGTAGTCTACATGAGACTTGTGGCAGGGCAAAAAGACGATAGATTGCTTCTTCTTTGCTGCTTCCTGGGCAACCGATCGCAAGCGCAGAACTTCCTCGCTGGATACGTGGATTCCTGGAACAAAAAGATCAACAATCTGCAGTCATCACACAGGAACACAGTTTTAGAGGCACCCTCACCCTGATGATAGGCTCGTGTGAGAAGTTGCGTGCAAAGATAATATGCCCCTCGGATAAATGTCTTACTCTCCATCTTGCAGATCATATTATCCATCATTGTATCAACAACCTCCTTCAAATTGCTCTCAATCTCAGCCCGACGCTGCTTTTTCTTTTTCGATACAGAGCCTTGGCCTATCTGTAGTAGCCCTTCCTTTTCCTCTACCGCAAGGCGCATCTCCGCTAACTCTTTGACCTTAGCTTGCAGAATTGGGCTGGCAAGGATGCTCGACTTGATTCTTTCCGAGAACCCCGGGTAAAATATAGGCTGTCCAACCACATCGTTGTATGCACGCCATCCTGTCCCCGACATGTAGAGGCTAACTTCTCGCAAGAAGTCAAAAGGATTCTCACGAAAGCGCGCCATATGAGAAACGAGGTTGCGCTCCGTAATTGGGCCATCCTGAGGTCCACCAGTATACCCGCTTGGATGAATTGTTACCTTATCACCAACAATCTCCAGGTCAGGGGCCTCCATGGGTGCCCTTTCCACCGGCATCGTGAATCGGAGCTAAAGGCGATTGTTGCGGGGAAGGGGAAGTAAAGGAGCGTTATCGAAGAAGCGAAACGCCGGTCCAAATGGCATCTAATCGGGAACGAGAGGACGCAGGAGGTCAGATAAGTCGCCGTCCGTCAGATGATTGGTAAAAAACATCCAGAGCCATGACCAAGCCTGGATAGTTATACCCCTGCCAGCTCTGCGTCTCTCTCAGACTCTTGGGTTACTTCCCCAGAATACCTCGGATATTAGTCATGTGATATATATCATACCATATTTACCGTTTGGTAAATTGTAACGGGGTCTGGAATACACAACACTAAGCCCGATAAGGTAAGCGACAGGGAAAAAGAGCTAAAAAGCTCCAAAGGATGAGGTCAACGCAGCAGCCACCAGCACGACCATCAAACGCAGCAGGCATTCAAGCAATCAGAGAGCATGACTGTCCTTGTCAATGGCATCATCCCACTCTGGAAGCTTCATTATATGAACGTCAGGCTGTTTAGTGGTGCCTGAACCGTCGTTGCCGCTGCACAGCGGGACTTCACCCTACTGCACAACCCTGGACTCCTTGATCCACTGACCATCATAAATACGGCGCAGTGATGTCGCGTTGGCTGAGAGCTTTTTCGAGTATGACTCCCTTGTTTCTGTGACCGGAGAAGCGTGGTGCACTTTCTGACTTTTGCCTGTCTTTGCTAGCTACCACGTCGTTGTTCAATTCCACAATGGCTTCTCGCCAGCACTCGTTCGAGGTGTTTCGCGATGTAGACCCCCTCCGAAAGATGCGTCGACAACTGGTGCTGTCGAACCGGACTGTAGGCCTCGTTCCCACAATGGGCGCTCTGCACGAAGGTCATCTTTCGTTGATGCGACAGGCAGCGGAGGAGAACACCGACGTCTTTGTCAGTATCTACGTTAACCCAACTCAATTCGGAGTCAATGAAGATCTATCGAGCTACCCTCGTACATGGGATAGTGATGTGGCGAAAATGGAACAATTGAACGAAGAATTGAGTCGCCAGGGTGAGAAGTATGGTCGTATCACGGCTATCCTAGCGCCTACATCTAAGGTCATGTACCCTACATTGCCGCCATCATCCGAGGTAGACGGCGACGGTTCGTTTGTCACAATCACACCAATTTCAAAGAAGCTTGAAGGTGCTTCCCGTCCTGTCTTCTTTCGCGGAGTTGCTACAGTTTGCATGAAGCTCTTCAATATTGTCTGCGCCGACCGCGCATACTTTGGGCAGAAAGACGTTCAACAAACGGTCGTGATCAAGAGGATGGTGAAAGACTTCCATATCCCTACGGAGATCAAGATTGGTGCTACAGTCCGCGAACAGGATGGATTAGCAATGAGTTCGAGGAATGTTTACCTGGGGTCGAGAAGACGTGCCGTTGGTCTTGTTCTCTTCAACGCCTTGAAAGCAGCTGAGGACGCATACCTGTCTGGCAAAACAAACCGAAACGAGATTTTGGATGCCGCCAATCGGATGACACAGAAGGTACTCGGCGACCAGCAGGCTTTGAAGCCCTCAGAAAGGGCGCTTTTCGAGGTTGATTATATCTCCCTCGCGGACCCTGACACTTTGGATGAATTGGAGGTCGTTGATCCCTTGAGAGGTGCCATCTTGAGTGGCGCAATCAAAATGGCTCCTCTAGAGCAGTCAAATCCCGGTGAAGATTGTGGTCTTGGTGATGGGAAGGTACCTGTACGGCTGATTGACAATCTGATCTTGACAACCCGGGTTTGACCGTTCACCAACGTCCCTCAGCTCATACCTTTGGCGCGACCATATTGGATGCCCTTCTACATCTCTTATCGGGGTTGGAGTAACGTTTGTATATTCCCAGGCAGCAAGCCCTGTATTAAGCCAAAACTAGCACATATTTAACCAAACACACATTTGCACCATGAAGCTCGAAAGGCTATTCCCATCATTGATCGCAAGTCCAGCCAAGCTTGACTGCTCGAGGACATCGCCCTCAATTACATGCACACAATCAGAAATCGGAAACTCTGGCCCATTATTTTCCGAAATTAGACGCTGAGTATTCCAATATACCCGCCTTTATATAATTTATATACAAGTAGACAGCAACGTGAGCCTCCTAGATCAGAACGTGGCGCCAAAACAGGAAACTAGGGCAGCCTCTCAGGGCTCGGAAGCAAATCGGCCCGAGAAAATTTCCCTGTGCAGTAAAGTCTTTTCCCGCATATCCAAAGCAAGCCGACAATGACTGATAACAAACAGCTGTGCATTTCAGCCCAACAAATCTCCTCATGGCGGACGACGGCTTGCTCCTGAACTTCTCCCTCGGTGATAACAACATCATCCAACCAGAGACGAAGCTCAAGGGCGGAACATGGCGGGACCGGCTCAGCGCAAAGAAAATCGCCAAGCACCACGCCAAAGGTCCCAGGGAAGCCGGCGAGGAAGACAGTGCACCCAGAGCCCCGCGCAACCCCAATAGAATCGAAGTACCTTCCTCGCGGCCGGCCAAGAGACAGAGGACAGATGGAGGCGATAGCGGAAAGCAACGGTCGCACGCGCATCCGCATTCCAATCGACCCCGCCAATTCATTTCATCGTTGTTCACGAAAAATCCAGAACCGCAGAAAGTCGAAGAAGTGAAGGAAGAAGGGCACGTCGAGGACGCCAAACCGACGAACGCGCCGCTCATCGATGGACTAGACACATTTACGAATCTGGGCCTGTCGCCGAATCTGGCCGCACATCTTCTTACGAAACTGGAGCTGAAGGCTCCAACGGCTATTCAGAAGGCGTCTATCTCACAGCTTCTAAAGGAAGACAGTGATGCTTTTATCCAAGCGGAGACAGGATCCGGAAAGACGCTGGCGTACCTTCTTCCCTTGGTACAGAGGATCATGGCTCTCTCGGAGCCTGGCAAGCAAACCGGAGCGAATGCAACGGACGCAAAGGGCCAACCTATCGTACACCGCGACAGCGGTTTGTTTGCCATCGTTTTGGCCCCCACTCGTGAGCTGTGCAAGCAGATCTCTGTTGTGTTGGAGAGTTTGCTGCGATGTGCGCATTGGATTGTGGCGGGTACTGTCATTGGTGGTGAGAAGAAAAAGTCAGAGAAGGCCAGACTACGGAAAGGGCTCAATATCCTTGTGGCTACGCCTGGACGACTGGCGGATCATCTGGATAATACGCAGGTATTGGATGTAAGCAATGTGCGGTGGTTAGTGCTTGACGAAGGTGACCGATTGATGGAGCTGGGTTTCGAGGAGGAGATTCAGGGAATAGTGAAGAAACTCGACGCACGACAGCGTCCCAGCCGCATACCAGGCGTTCCTACGCGGAGAACTACAGTTCTTTGTTCTGCGACGCTGAAAATGAGCGTACAGAAGCTTGGTGAAATCAGTTTGAAAGACGCAGTCCACATCAAAGCAGACCCAGAGGACGAGGATGAGACAACCAGGAAAGGTAGCAAAGAGGAAGAATTCGCCTATCTGGTGCCCGCCCAGCTCAAACAATCATACGCCGTCGTTGCGGCAAAGCTGCGCCTGGTCACGCTCACTGCTTTCTTCAAACGCACTTTTATGAGGAAGGGATCAGTCATGAAGGCTATCATTTTTGTCTCCTGTGCTGACTCAGTCGACTTCCACTTTGAAGTATTTACACGGAAACAAGAGAAGGAGAATGGCGACGAGCCTAGCGATACAGAGAAAGCAGAAGATAAACCTCCATTGTCGCCTCATGGTACCATAGCACCTGCCACTGCTTTTTCGAATCCGTCAAATCCTGTGACTTTGTTCCGACTCCACGGTTCGCTGCCTCAAACCGTCCGGACTTCTACTCTCGGAGCGTTTTCGAAGAGCCGCGAAGCATCTGTCCTGATCTGTACCGACGTGGCCTCTCGCGGTTTGGATCTGCCAAATGTCGATCTGGTTGTGGAGTACGATCCAGCATTCAGCGCGGAAGACCACTTGCACCGAATTGGACGTACAGCTCGTCTAGGCCGTGACGGCCGGGCACTAATCTTCCTTCAGCCTGGATGCGAGGAGAATTATGTCGAAGTTCTCAAGAGGTGCTACCGCGACGGCGGAAAGGCCCTCACTCGCACAGATGCCAACGATATTCTCAAGCGCGGATTTGGCGGCAATGTGGAAAGCGGAAACAAGGACTGGGAGACAAAAGCGACAGATTGGCAGTGCGAGGTTGAACGTTGGGCGCTGGAGAACCCGAAATACCTCGAGATGGCTCGGAGAGCCTTCCAATCGCACATCCGTGCGTACGCCACACACATCGCCGCCGAACGGAGCATGTTCAACATCAAAGAGCTCCACCTGGGACATCTCGCCAAGGCATTTGCGCTGCGTGACCGTCCCAGTAAGATCAATGTACCCGGTTTACGACAAGGAAAGGAAGAGACGAAGAAGGACTTCAAGGCTGAGAGGAACTCTGCGGCAGGAAAGAAGAGAAAGGCTGGTGGTGCAGATCTTGTCGATGATATACCGTCTGCCAACAATACGGCAACGGCAGCCCAGAAGATGAGGGCTAAGATGAAAGAACACATGGCTGGAGCAAGCGAGTTCAACCTTGCCTAGTCTGTGCTTGAGCTGTATATAGAAGAGCGGTGACTCATTTCAGTAGATATCCCATAATGAAATCTTACCATCTTTTGACCCAGCAGCCAACCAGTGGGTGGTTTGCACCTTTCGGCTTCTCTGATGCTGCACAGCTGCGAGTGTATAGGCATTATCCTCTCGTGTTGTAACTTGTTGATGGCCGTCATGCGAATCGTTCCCGACTACTTCGGCGCTTGAGTCGTCCATAGGCGAATCATTTGTTTCTGCTACAGCAGGGACCTCCGCGAACCCAATCGTATAACATCCCTCTTTATGCCATTTCAACACCGCGAGTTCCTTCATGGTCTCGCACGAGTAAACCCGAATCCTACTATCCCAACCCGCCGTCCCAAAGATCTTCCCATCAGATCGGATGCGGATACCCTGCTGGCCCGCATGTTTGGTATTAACCGTCTTCAAAACTGCCTCCTCCGGCCGGTTTATCGATGGGTGACCACCATTACCCAAGCGGGGAATAGGATGCTTCACCAGCAACGCGTCAGCAGACGATGAGAGGAAATAGTTCCCCGGAGGGAAGACGTCGATAGACAAGACCGGTTGGCTATGAGGCCGACAGGCATAGAGCTTCTCCCACTTCCAGGAAGCGGTAGTCCCCTGTAAGATATCTTGTTCTTTAACAAGACCTCGCCGGGCAAAAAGCATGACGTGCCCATCTTCGTACGCCGATGCAACATACAGATCCCCAGGCGGTCCCGTGAACAAATGAGCCGCCATGACCATCCCGGTATCCGTAGTCGTATCCGCGGGAATGGTACATACGCGCCTCTCGAGCGGAAGGTGGAACAAATCGATAGCGCCTGAGTTCAGGGCGTTAGGAACCGCTATCAGCGCAGGCGACCGGGGCGCGTCCTGCGGCGTAGCGTCTGCAGATTCTTCCGTCGCGTTGGCGCCTTGACTGTTCTCCGCACACGCGCTCTCTCTTAGAAAGAGCAGCGAGAACGCACAGAAGTTCAGCGCGTTCACAGGAAGGGAATGCACGAGCCAGGGCTGGCTGGCGGTGTTTGCCTGAGGTCCCTCGCCGATATCGACGGGCAGAGTTTTCTGAAGGGCTTCTTCGTCCTGGCGGCGGATTCTCCACACTCGCAGTTTATGATCTCTTCCATGCCTGGGCCGTCTTGTTAGCCATAGTCTGATACTGGAATTAGGCGCGGACATACGTATATACATCTGTTTCTGCTGTCGCAGCGGAAGTAAAACCCTTGACTTCAAGAACCGCCCCTTCGTGCGCTTTCCATGCGGCCACCGGACGTTTCATCACCAGGTCCCAGACAACTATCCATCCATCCGCGTCGGCCGAGATTAGCCGCAAATTCTGGTTGAACAGATGCAACGCATGTATTGGAGCTGCATGTCCGCGAAGGATATAGATAGGTGTTGCTGGAGGTCGGGCGGCCTGGTTAGCGAACTCGCTGGGTTCGCTCATTTGTTCGTTGAAATGCACAGAAGTACCAAGTGAAATGATTTCGGGCCAGGATCTTCCTAAATTTGATGCTCTCTATCCGTACTGAATGCTGGTGCATTGATGAAGTAAGAAACAGAGATGCGAAGTTCTACGGAATAAGCAAGTCTTGGCGCTATCTTCATCATCCACACAACGCGAGAGGGAATGGTGAAGACTGCAGAGGCAGCAGGCATTACGGATAAATAGGAGGAACCATTGAGAAACTGACTAGAGTTGATTGTCGGATGCCCACATCAATGAAGAAGAAGAGTTAGGAAAGCATTTTGTTTATCTCATCTATACAGGACATATACTGAGAAACATGAAGCCGCAAATATACACCTCCAGAACACTAGTGTACAACAGGCAAAATATATACATCATGACATCGATCACATTTTGAAAAGACAATTAACTGTACCAGCGTTGAGAAAAGCACATCAAAGTCAAAAATCGTGGAGAAACCTTCGTGGTATCAACGTGAGAAACGCCCAGTGACTGAATCGAGATAAACCTCCAGAAAGAAAAGCCAAAACTCCGTCCGGTCAATCGACGTATCTAAATCAGAACAAATCGTACGAAAAATCATGTATAGGATGATGAGGTGCGACATAGTATTCCTGGTAAGGGTGGTTTTCCATGGAGAAATCGGCATAAGCCATGATCGGATTGATCGCACCGGGTGGACATCGTAAGTCGGCTGTATCGGACGCATGCAAAGGGTTATGACCATCGAATAGTGAGATGGTCTCGGTGGAAACAGATGGAACTTCCTGTTGATGAGGAATTTGCCAACCCCAGGCTTGCTGGAGGTCATTCCGGATATGTTCAGCGCGCCAGCCGGTCTCCTGGACGATCCTGTCGAGTATCTTGATCACTTCTTCTTGAGCCTCCTTCGTCACCAAACATTCCGCCGCAACGGCTAGAAATTGGATGGACAGGCCAGCAATGCCGCTGGTCAAAGTCAGTGAAAAACACTTCTCAACTTCCCGGGAGCCTCCATACCGATCTTTGACGTGCGCCACAATGCCACAGATATCATGCGCATGAAGCTGCTGCATGTGCTCCATTTCGGGGCTGAATTCAGATTGCGAGAGATGAAGTCTGGCGAGCATCAACCGTGACACATGGTAAAATAATCGAGCGACTATCGCGGATCGCTTGATCAACCTTTTTGAAAATGGGTCAGTGAATATGTTCTGTAGAGCAGTGAAAGTCAATAGACCTACCAGATCTCAGGAAATTGTGATTTGGATCTGGTTTGCCACGGATGAAGATAGCCGACAGGCATCATGGATCGTGGTGCAGCTTTCGCCCACTGATCACACCAATCGTTGTATGTATTCCACTCCTCCTGGAAGTTATTTGGTGAACTATTCGACGTCTGAGAATGAGAGACAGAGGAGCGAAAATTTGCGACTTTGGCACAGATATAAACCATACGATGGGTCCACATTTCTTCGTTGCCCGCGATGCTGGGCTCCGCTGGGTCCATAGTCATCTTTACACCCCAGGTATCAGGATCCCAGGCCAAGGCCCAATTGTACCGCATGCAAATGAGCAGCTCCATGCCAACATTGAGCCAGAAACAGGCACCGCCCAAGCCCGGGGATCTTGCATCCCAGTGACATTCCTTAATGAGCGCTCTTGCGCCTGCAATATGATTCATGTCCTGAATCGAGCGGGAGCTCATTAATTCGTATACATTGAGGACGACAGCGGTTGTAGCACACAGTGCAGAATCACGATCCGGATCTTGCAAGGAGTGGAGTAGGTCTCGGGAAGCTATGTCATGAAAGTACGTCGCCCTCTCTTCGCCGTACGCAGGATTGACCAGATACAGGTGTCGAGCACCGCATGCCATAAACGCTTTCAGAAGCATAGGCTCCTCCAATGCGTGAAATGGCAATATTTGGGTGAACTGGTCAAGTCAGAAGCAAGAAAGCGATGATTTACAATACAAGAGTCCTTACATGCTTGACTGCATCCATAGAATCCATGCACAGCCCCACCTCCTCGACGAAGACCCGCAACAGCAAGATGTCTTCGGGGTCGTTGAGATATACACGGTCATTCGAGCCCTTTGCTCCAACCTTCGCTGACTTGAATGGGGCGTATGAAGCACCCTGATCAGGGAAGACAGAATAATCCATCGACAGCGCATGACCGTCGAAGTTACCGCTTTGATCAGGCAGCGAAATCTGAGTGATTCCAAACAGCGAAGGCATGCTGTCCATCGAGGGACTTATCAGAGAGGGATATTCTGACGGCAAAGACAATTCCAAAGGAGGTTCCATTCCCGGAGGGGGATATCTCTCGGCTCCACCCACATACTCTGACGCGATGACTCTGGATTCATCCCGGAAAGTGACAGATGCGCCAGGAGGGCGAGGGATACAGTGTGGAGGCGCCACGGTCTGTGTATCAATAAAATTCAAACGAACGCCACGTCTGCATATTCTCCCTGATTTGCGACAATTCTGACACCGGTGCGAAGTCTCGTCGCATTTCAGATGGCGCTCTCGACATGTCAGACAGCCCGTACGGACACGCTTCGGTTTGCCGCCAACGATTCTTTTCCGTCTTTTGCTCGATAGACGTGGTGTGCTCGCCGGCGAATTAGTCGATGTTGGCACCTCACTCTCCTCGAAAAGGCTGGTATCAGGCGCATCGTCTTGGGGCGCTTGGCCGGCCAGTAGTTCAGGATCTGCAGTGTTTGAGTCGATGGTATCACCGTTCGCATTCCCCTCCCGAGAGAGTGGGTCATTCGAGATGTTCCGCTTGAACTGTGGAAAGGCAGTGTTGCCGACAGAAGCCATGTCAAGTCGTGCTCAGTCCTTCGAGCACTTCCTTCACTGACCAGGAACCGCCCCAGAGCACACGAGAACGAGAATAAGAGACCCTATATATCACCTCCATAGGATCCATACCTGGACCATTGTGTTGTAGCCACTGGGCTGGAGTCTCCAACGTCGTGCAGTCGCGTAGTCTAATGCCGCGAAATTGTTAGCTTGTGATAATCACCACTGGCACTGTGACAGTATAAACCTCCGGAATCTCTACTTACAGAAGACTGAGCAGAAAATCACGGAGCAATTTGTGTAGAGCGAATCAGTGCACTGTGCTGCTCCTGGACGAAGATGTTGAAGCGAAGATTTGCGGGGAATGTGAGATTTGGTGACTAAACCATGGGGCCACTTGCTTTACCCCAAGTTGATACCGAAGGCTTATCTGATTCGGACTACCACGAAGTTTTGAGCTACAGAGTGGAATTGAGTCTATTGAGATGCGATATTTCAACATAGTTAATTGCTTTTGATGACTTTACGAATTGAACACTTTATTGCTTGGACCCGGCCTGGAACCCATTTACCATTTTATATGAGCGTGTTATGTGCATTTTTCTTCCACCCTCCCCCATTTCGTCTGGACTTCCTGGAAAAGCTAAATTTGGTATATAAAGGTTAATAGAATACTTACAAGTCTTTGAAAAGGCCAAGCCAAGCTTTAACAGGGTCGCGGCTGACTAGGATGAGGCCTTGCTACCTAACCTAGGTAACCGGATACGAATGTGCATCATGAACATGATCGCTCCCCAGATGGCTGCGGAAAAGAAGGTCACTCGGAGAGCCGCAGCATATGCCTCAATCACTGGGTTACAGTTAGTATGGGTGTCTCACATGTGGTGTTAAAAACACTAACCTTGGTGCTGATGCATTGGGTCCAGGTTAGCAATAGCTTGAACCGATTTGCGGACGAGAAGAATGACGCTCTCTTTGTCGGGACCAGTCACCAGCTTGTCGAGCTGATACACAAGTGTATTCTGGAATATCCAGCTGCTCGTCGCCACACCCATGACTGATCCCAGATTTCTAAAAAGGCCCAGAGTTGTCGTAGCTACAGCCTGCTCTTCCTGGGCGCTTGTAGCCAGCACTGATACCATCAGTGTGGGAAAGGAGAAGCCCTGGCCAAGACTGGACAGAGAGACACAGATCATCGCGACTAAATCAGGAGTGTCTTTACCAATCAAAGCCGCAGCAAAGCCTCCAATCAAGAGGAAGAGACCGCCAATGAGCATTGTCGGCTTGAGACGCTTGGTCCAAGTGATCAAGAAGCCGGTCGACACGCTAGAAACTGTGACAGCGAGAGTAGCAGCGACCAATCTGAGACCAGAATCGGTGGGACTTGCCAATTTGACCGCCTGGAAATACAGCGGAGCATTGAAAATCATGGTGTTGATCGAGATTGATCCGAAGAAATTTCCGAAAATAATACTTGCACGAGGTTGCTTTGACAGGAGTGATATTGGCATCACCGCCCGTTCAACGTTCCGTTCATATCGTACAAAGACCACGGCTAGAACAATTGATAAGGCTAGCGATGAGATGACAAGAGGGTGAGTCCATTCGAACACATTACCACCTAGGTTGATACCCATGATCAAAGCAGTAACCGTAACTACGAGTATGAAGGACCCTGTCAAGTCGATGCTTCTGATCAATTGAGACACACTCATCCGATCCGCTTTTGCTCTCTTCAGCCCCAGGTCTGCTGGAGTTGTCCAAGCTGCGACAATGAAGTAAACAAAGATGAACGGCAGCTGCACAAGGAACGCACCTCTCCATCCCACGTGATCGCACAGGAAGCCACCAAAAGCAAGCCCAAGGCAGCCCCCAATTCCGAGGACGAGGTTGATGTAGGACTGATACAACCCTCGGTACTCGATGCGCACAAGGTCGCTAGACAATATCATCCCCATAGAGAAAACACCACCAGCTCCGAGGCCACAGACAGCACGGGCAGCGATGAAACTTCCAATACTTTGCGCTGCTGCACACCATGCTGTGGTCACGAAGAAAATAGCAATGGCAAAAAGATAGACCGGTTTTCGGCCGAACGTGTCCGATATGCGCCCAAAAAGTGGAAGGAAGGCAGTCGATGTCAAAAGAAAAGCGGTCGAAAGCCATGATGCAGAGTTGGAGGCATGAAAGTACGACGTGATGACGGGGTGGCTAGAGGCCATTAAGGTCGAGTCAAAGAATCCAATCATATAACCCAATAGAATCCCGGAGAAGATGAGCCAGAAGCGCACCGGCGATACGCCGATAAATCGGGAGGCATAATCATCTTGTTCACACGTTGAGCAGTTCTCTGGGTCTGCGGAAGCGCCTCTATCCGCATTAGGCACAGGAGGAATATGCTCTAGGCTCGGTTCGATATCAGGACCCTGAGGTAATGAACTGACTCTGGTGAGGTTGAGAAGAGCTTCCTCATCGCCGGCTGTGAAAGCAGTCGATGTTGGAACTGCGGCGCTCTCGTCTAATGCTGAATAGCTCCCCGCATCTGAGTACAAAAGTGGATGTGAAGATTTTGTCTTGAGCAGAGGTGTTGCTTCATCAATGTCAGGGCGCTCTCGCTGTGCAGATGGTGGTGTTCCGCCCAACCCTTGAGCGCCAGCCATTTGTAGGAGACTCTGTATAGAGAAATGGATGTCAAGAGTAGTGATGCAAAATGAGTAGATCAAAGTTTTTCCGCCACTGGCATAAGCTGACCGCCGGGTTCTTGAGCCTTGATGGAAAAATTCAGCATGGCACGGAGTCAAAATGCGTCACAGCTTCAACAAGAAGGAACTTCCAGTCTTATACGAGAGGTGGTCAAATCAAGCATGGGTTTAGCAAGAGACGCTAATGCATAGGTAGGTACCTAGTGTTGGAGTATCTGCAGGCAGGCATTATTGAAATGACTCTTACAGTACTCCACAAGATCTGAGCCTTGATCGAGGAGTTGATAAGGCAGATTAACTGAATTAATCACTCAGCATCTTTATTATTAATATTCAGCTGTGTCCCGTGTCGACCACAAATGAAAAATTGTGTACTCTATGTAAGGTAGTATCAGTTGGATTGATATGGCAAGCCTTCCAGGTTGTGGATAAGGCGACCCCTCCGCTGGGATTTTTCTGTCTTTTTTACACTCATCCAATCAGAAACCACTAACCTCTTCAATCGAAGCTGACTTGATCGCCGATTGGCCCAAAATGAGTCATTCGACCATCCATCCAATTGCATCTTCATCTGCACCCGTCGCCACTGCCGTTCACAGCAATTGGAGTCTGCATGGAACTATCTGGCTGTTGCTTCTTAAGATGATAGCTGGGATGACAACCATCTGGACGGATCTTGACCCAATCTCAAGCTGGCTGATGTCTATCCCCGCGATGGAGAGTCATGTATTTCCAATGTCAGCCTCAACTGCCTTTGGGCAAGATTGATAGACTCAATATGAATGAGCAAAGTCTAGACATATGCACAATTTCATGACAACATCGATGCCATAGTTTTGGGCAATGACGAGCATTTTCCCGGCCAGGAAGGCGGTGTTCTTTGATAAGGGAGTGAGGGGATCTGATAAGAAATGCCCACCGAAAGACTGTCATTTCATTAAAAAAATAAGTAGAAAATCGTTCTTGATAGACCTGAAAAAGTGTACTTTTTTGCAATTTATATTGCTCAGAATCTATGCAGCATTGAGCCGAGGTCCAAGAGCATACTATTCTTAATTCCAATTCTGCACTCATCGGCACAACAATGCGTTCTCCGCTGCGAATCGCCGTCCTCGAATGTGACGCCCCGCCAGCCGATGCAAATGCAAGATATGGCGGATATCATGGTATCTTCTCGCTCCTCCTCAAACAAAGCGCGAGAGCACTAGGGCAGCCAGACAAATTAGACCCAGAAAGGGGCCTCGATATTTCACGCTGGGATGTCGTACATGCACAAGAGTATCCGAGATTAGAGGATGTCGACGCAATCCTCTTGACCGGATCTAGTAAGTACTAACATCTTGTACACTGTGGTCTTGATCCTTGGTTCTACGACCACAAATGTCTTATTGTGCGCCTGGACCATTTGAGTCCGCGTGAGTTTGTTTGTACCCTCTCTGACTCATCCTTGCAGAGTACAACTCCTTTGATGACGACCCGTGGATTCTAAAGTTGGTGGAATATACAAAACGGGCTATAGATGATCAGCGTGTAAAGGTCATAGGAGTCTGCTATGGGCATCAGATCATCGGACGTGCGCTCGGATCCAAAGTTGGCCGAAGTGACGCGGGATGGGAGATTGCAGTATGCGACGTGGATCTGACAGAGCAGGGAAAGAAGTTGTTCGGAAAGGATAAGCTGGTATGTCATTATTTATGAAAGACGGAGGACCATAGGAGCGAATGTACGCGATACTGACAATTACAGCACATTCAACAAATGCATCGCGACATCGTATTCGACTACCCGCCGGACGTCGTTCCACTTGGGTCTTCCCCCCGCTGCGCTATACAGGGGATGTATAGGCCTGGGCATTTTATCACTGTTCAGGGTCACCCCGAATTCAGGGAAGATATTGTGTCGGAGGTTGTCAACCTACGGATGTCAGCGGGTATCTTCTCCAAGGATCAAGGCGAGGATGCACTGAGTCGAGCAGGGAAGGATCATGATGGCGTCGCCATTGGCGCTGCTTTCCTGAAATTCTTGCTTGGAGACATTCAATAGATCTCGCGGTGTGGGTAGTAGCTGTACGTAAAGTTGAGTATGTCAAAGATATAGACTTTTTTTGATATTATTGGATCCCTATTGGTCTATTTCATTCCTTCATGACTTCACAGGGTATTATCAAACATGCTCTGCATGTTCAGATCACCATGTAACAAAGCTCTGTTACCCCCAAACTTCTCACATAACCGTAACTACCCTTGAATCACCCACTAGCTCCAGGATCCTCACGCTCCAGAAATGTCGGATCCATATCTACCCTTCGCTCAAACT